GTTACAGGAGACCCTCGTCATTCGCGGGGGATAAGTTCTAGAGATCCCTGTGAATGGGCAAATCCACGAATACCGTACTGTACCTATAATAGGCTAGGATAAACAGGACGGAGACAGTAATTCCAATAAAATGCTAACTAGCGTTTTATTCCCTGCTCTAATAAAACCCTTAGCTGACACTGCAACATACTGAATGTAAAAGTATCACCAGAGCATAATTACAAAGTGTCATCACGCTGCGCAAGGAAAGAGCGTGGGTTGCCGTGGCGCACCGCAAATATTAAAAAATGCGAATCGCGAATCCATGAATAGCGAGGGTTGGGGGGGGTTGTTTTTTTTTTTTTAGGTGGGGGACTTAACTGAAGAATTTAGTATAAAACAATCAACTCCTATTTATCTCCAAAAATACCAAGTTTCAAGTTGATGGAAGTTGTTACTGGCACCGTGTTTATACTGTCAAAGTAAAAGTCAAATTCACTACTTCTCCTAACTCAGTTAAATTTCAGTAGAAAACCCAGCCTCTGGGTAAAGGTATCACAAAAGGGACTTTTGGTGTTTTTTTTTTTTAACATGCCTGTAAAGTTACCCAAACTGGTAACATTAAATTGATGGGGTCAGTATATGCTACCACACTCAACTCCTTTCTTAGGTATTCAAAATAATTCAAATTGCTGTTTATTTAATGAGTGATCTGTATGAATATTGCTCCAACTAGAGATTAAGTTTAAAACTGCAATGCGACTACTCACCAGTTTGTTATAAAATGATACAAAACCATAGCCTTTTGATTTTCCAGTTGCCATATCTTTAACTACCCGTGCATCCCTGTGAAAAGAAGCACAGCTATATGAGGGAAATATTATTAACCTTTGAAATAAAAACTAAAAGGAACCACACACACTGTATTGTGAGCATAATTTTTTTCTCTTATAAATTCAGTTATCCCTAAAACTATAGTCATTCCTGAACTCTCCCTATTGCCTCTTTACCTGTTAGAAAAAAGCAGTAGGACAAAAAATAACATGTAATAAACATGCAACCTATCCACATAACCTATACTGACTAAAACTAAAATGTTCAAATTGTGAAGTTTAAAAAGGAACAGTTTCCTTTTCTAATATTCTATTGGCTAGGGTCGTCTAAGGTTTACTGTTCTATAATATTACTGTAACAATTCTATCTACTTTACCATGCATTCTCTAAATAGTTAAATGTCTTCTGCCTAGTGATACAAAATATATGAAATATTAAAAAATTGAAAAAGAGGAAAAAAAATAGGAATTAAAAGGCATACATGGCCTGTTAACAGATTTCTTTATTTTTCTTGGTCAATTCTCTACCATCATTTTGGAGTTTGGGCAGCTGTAAATTTTGAAAAATTGACATTTTCAGAAATTTAAGAAAGGAGAATAAAACTAACAACAATGCTAAGCACACCAGTACGAAAACAACAAATTTACACAGAAATTTTTAGTGAGTAAGTTAAAATGATTGGAAATATAGAACTGCACTGAATATAGAATGTTAAAATGTAAATACTAAAATATGTATATATAAATAATGTATAATAAGAATAAATAGAAATGAGAAAAAATCTACAACTGAGTTCCAGTGTGCACAGTTCCTTGCAGTTAGCCTTCAAGATCCTGTCCATTCTTATGAGCAATTCTGCAAAATAACCAGAATGCTATTACTTTTAATTGTGACTTGGACTTTAGAAAAACTGCAGGTCTCAGGTATAAATATAGATTGAGAAACAGAAGCCTGTATATTCTTTTTATATTGATTTTTAAACAATACTACTTACCACATTTAGAGATAAAAAGCAAAGTAAACAAAATAGCAGAAGGTAAGAAATAAGGTTTATGGTTCATTTAAAAATAAGCGCACAGAACAACAAGAGAAAAATGAGAATTTTTGTTTTTAGAAATATATTTCGGCAAAATAGTATAAAAATGTTCATGTGTAACTTTAAGGATTTTAAGAGAGAAGATATAAGGAGATTAACGTACTTTTTTTTGAAGTAGCTAACTTAAAGACACACACACTTTAGCACTCACAAGGGTTTTTGCAATGTTCAATTAAAGCATATATTTTGAAATATGATTTCAAATATAATAGCTATGAAAACTTTAAAGATTTCTCTCAACTGGTAGAAGTGTGCATAGTACTGTAAACACAACATTCTTCCACTGACATATTGTAACTTTTAATTTATCCCCTCCTAAAAACTGGAAAGTTTTCATACTTGAGGATTTTTGTTTTTAACAAGACATGTTCACAACTTAAACGCTACTAGTTATACCAGCTGTATCACAGAATTATACCCTAAATTAACTGCTTTTCTGTTACCTATGCAAATTTTAGATTCAGTACACACCCCTTGAAATTTGCCCGAGTCACTATTCTGCACGCAAAAGTTGAACAGATATTATTTATGCTAAAAAAGTATTGCTTTATTAACTGTTTGATTAGACATATGACGGAACTTAGCATATAAAATCAGGTTAAAAGCATACTGCTTTCAACAAAGTGAAGACAAATTGGCGCACAAAATTCATTTACTGTATTTACAAACATGCAAAACACAAGATGAAATGTAACACTTCTCACTGCCCACCCAATATAAACTCTTATCACACAGAGAAATAATCTGAAAGAGATGAAGAAATATCATTTTAGAAAGAAGCAAACTTATTATAATTCTCCCTGATGTGATGTTTGCAGTATTGATCATGATACTTACGATATTTTACCAAAGGGAGCAAATGCTGACTTGATGTCTTCTGTTGTTATTTCTGGACTTAAATCCCCAACAAACACATGGAAGTGATCTGAAAATAAAGGATTTACTAATCAAATATTTAACTGTTATCTAGTAATTTAAATCCTTACGCCCTTCTCAGAAAAAGATACTTTGAGCTGAGCACTGGGAAGCCAGGAACACCCACATTCCATTTGATGTTCAGCAGCAATTTAAACTTTACATCTGAGTTTCCCAATTTGCAAAGCAGAGCAAGAAACAGGGAGAATTAGTAAGTAAAATGCCACAAATCTTAGTATTTCTGCTATGAAAACACTTGATGGGAAGGGATGCCACATATCTTAGTGTTTCTGCTATGAAAACACTTGATGGTGAGGGAAACAATTTCATTTAGATGTATTTGTGACTGCAACTATATTTCTATACAGATATTTTGTAACGTAACACTGCATTACTTACTGGATGTATCTTTTTTCTGGCTACTTGGTGTTGTTGCCCAGTTTACTTTGACCTCCTGAAAATAAGTGTAAGTTTTAGTATAAATTCATAAAACTACTGCACATTGTAAACTCATTCAAAGGCAAGTTACAAGGGTTAAAGCAGTACAAATCCTTCTATAACAGGAAGCATCAGATTTTCAATTACCACAGCATACAGACATTTATTAACTAAATACAGGGTACAAATGTTCAAAATGATCTTCACTGAAGTTACTCACTTAATAATTTAAATATTTTACATTAAGTTATTTTTTCTTAAATCTCAGCTATTAATATCCAACTTACCTTTCCCAAAATTTTTCTCCCATTCATAGCAGCTAATGCAGCAGCTGCATCTCTGTGTTCATAAAATTCCACAAAGCAATAAGGGTCATTGCTTGTATGCTGCAAAACAGAAAATCCAACAGAAGAGTTGACCCTTCTGCTATCGGGTTGCTGAGAAGAAAATCCAGGAAAATATATTACTTATAGCTAGAAATTTTAAGAAAGATACTGCATCAGTTTATGAAATAGCCTTTGAAATAACATTTTACGAGTGTAAACTGGACCAATTTACTTTTTTTTTAAGATCTAGTCATTTTTGAAAGTTTAGTTTTAGAAGAAAAATACAGGATGTGCCAGATAAAAGTTGTTTTTTTTTAAATGATTTTCACAAAAGGGATAAAAAGTTTAAGTTACCCCCCCCCCCCCCAAAACTTAAAATTACCTTAGCAATGACCTGTGATAGGGAAACATGGATTTGGGGCATTCTCTGCTTCTTTAACATGTATAAAAAGCCTGAAAAGCTTACTGTTCTCCCCGTACGGTCTCTAAATTTGTGTTATCCTTCCTCCTGTTTAACAAGACTTTCCCCCATTTGCCTGAACATTCTTTGGTAGATCACTGAACCAGAGCTGGAGCTCTCTCAGCCCCAATAAGGGAAAACGCCAAATTTTACAAACTCATCAAGATGAAAAATGAAGTTTAACACTGATTAAAAAGTCCTTTCCCACACTTCAGCTCAAGTTTCTCTCTCCTGATACCAGTGATGTCATACATGCACGGTTTTCCAAGCATCCTGTCTGCCAGAAGAGATACAGGTGATACCTGAATTCCTAATCTTAAAAAGGCAGATGCAAACAAAAACCTTGTAGACTTTCTACATACACAGTGGAGAAAAACAGTATGATCTGTTCCAAACTGTGAGCCTTTTAACAAACAGCAAACAGCTAACAGCATAAAAATCACTGTGGCTAGGTACAGACATTCAAAAAACCAGAGGCAGAATCAATTTTAGTTACAATCTTGGTTTTCTGTAAGTGGCAGAAACACACATTTGCCCTTTGGCAGTGGGGCAGGAGCAAAAATCTTTCCACCATTTTTAAATCAGCCTGTGCACACCCAACTTCTGTTCTGTTATGGGTAGAGAGACTGGTTGTGTGCGCTGAACCGGTTTCCAATCACTTAGACTGGAAAAGTGTAACGTTTGTACCTGGCCTAAGTTATATTAAAGAAAAGCAGCAATATTAAAATGAAAGGAAAGTTAATCAAGTGGTAAGAACTGGGATATTGGCATTAGAGATATTTATGACCCAGGTTCAAAGAGCTCATAAACCAGCTAATTTAAAACAAAATTGGGAGACTGCTCTCTCATGCACAGGAAAATTCAGGTTTTTAACTGATAACAGCCCACTTTGTGCATGAGAGAATCTTCCCCAACCATGTCAGCAAACTAAAGTCAGAATACAAAGAAATTTTGGCTTTTATACAAAATGTCGCAGTATAGTTTCTAGCTGGACATATATGCAGAAATCTATTAACACTTGACAGACATGCAGAATCACCATTAAGGGGGCAGGAAAAGCCCTTTAAAAACCTCTCAGAACTGAGCTGCTCTTCACTGATGGAGAGTCAGCTGTAAAGTTTGAAGCAGGGGTATATCAGGGTGAAAATAAAATATACCCGTCCCATTTTTACTCTCATTTTAAAGGGGTCATATTCCAGGGTACTGCTTAACACTGAAACAGAAGGGGAATCTTTCAACATAATTTTTGGTACTCCAGTTTTGGGTGTCCAATTCAAGGTAACTTGAAGGGACCCAATTCATTAAAAGTATGCAGCATCTACCCTATGGAAAAAAACAAGCCCTTTCAATGAGTCCCAAGGTGGACACCTCAAATCTTCAAACACTTGACATTTTAGGCCAGGTCTACAAAAAGAAAAAGGAAGCAGGAAACAGAAAATAAGGGTAACATGCCTTGGAAGAAAACTATGCACTGGTTCGGAAGGAATTATTCAGTGCCATCCTGACTGGTGGCGGCGAGGAGGACTTGAGAAATCACACCTCAAAAGAGCTAGTTTAGCATCCAAGAAAAGACGAGCAATAAGCACTTATTAAAAGCAAGGACATGGGCAAGTGTTGTGAAAGCTGTAAACTGTATAAAATTTGTCAATGCAGTGCCATTCTAGTTCTAGAGAAGAAAGTCTTGAACTTTTACCGTGTACTTCATTTTCAAGGACCAAAACAGGGACTGAGGAGAACAAACACAATTTTAAGCCACCTATGGTCTTAGCTAGATTTTGAATTAGGCCTTTCCACAAGAAAGACTTTACTAAACCACAAAAATTCTTTACACTTTACATAGATTAGGATTTATATAACATGCCATTGTGAGTCCTTAACCTTTTTGGCCTTGAAAGACCACTTGTTAGACTCATGGAACATTGTGGAAAATGCCAGCTCTTCATTTTTACACGTTTCTGACTACAGAAAAATAATAGAGCAATTCTTTTATTGCAAAGAACTGAACAGGTCAGAGTGTTTTTTAGCACTATGATTCCTATTTGAAATTTCTGTGACTTATCTTGTAAATCATACTTAACAGTACCAAATTTACACATGGGACTCCATGGAACCCTTGAAAAGATCTCAGGGCACCCAGGATGCTGCAACCCCTGGCTCCAAGGATCAGGGCAGGGGAGCAAGGCCAGTGCTGCTGGCCTCACCCCCCACTCTATTGCCACTGTCATGGCAGCGCGCTGCCGCCACCTCCTGTCCAAACCGTTCTTGGAGCACTCTGGTTGGTTGTTTCAGACAACCAGTCAGAGTATAAATAAAGTGTTACAGACAGACAGACAGACAAAGGCCACACACAGAGAATTTTTTATGTTATATCTATGGATATTAAAATATTAAACTAGAATTCCTGGATCACTGTTTCTGTAGTGCTAGTAATCCTTATCTTATTTTTAAGATACCAAATAGTGCCAATATTCAATCATGACAACAGCTGAAAATTAGGGAAAAGATACTTCCTAGCCAAAGATTATATGGCAACAAAATCTGCCACCTTTGAGTACAAACTAACAACAGTTGTCAGTCATGGATAGTGGTAAGAACCTAACCCAAGGTAACTGATTTTAATTTAGACAGCAAAAATGCATTAGATTTTATCTATTTGGACTGGAGTAAAGCATCTGCCAGAGTGGTATGATAAATTAATAATTAGTTAATAGCTGACTGTGAGGTGAGTAAGGAAATAGCTCAAGAAGAAATGGCAACATGCTTCACTCAAAAGGGAGTTATCGCACAGGAAAGAGGTTATACTAAAGGGGGTTATATTAATAAGGATCTGTTTTAGGACTGATTTTATTAAGTATTTTCATTAGTATAAAAAGACTATAGTATAAAAAGAGCATGCTGGTGAAGTTTGCTAAAAACACAAAGTTAGGAAGCAATGTCAATATACTGAAGATGAGATTATCATACAGTAAACCGTGGATAACCTTGAGGACTGGAGTAATAGAAATGGAATTTGATAGTACAAAAAACCAAGTCACACACACAGCTTGGCAGAAGTTTTGGTTACCATATTTTCCAAAAAAATCACATGCCCCAAATAAGTGAGAGACTTTATTTTCTAGAAAGGGAGAATGAAGAAAAATATTTTTCTAGAGTTATAGCTGCAGAGAGCATAGACAGAGCCCAACCTTCAGCTCATTCAGTCTCAATTTACCATTCACATAAAAGCTATAGTTTTAACTCTTTCACAGCTGAGCTGTAAGCAGCTCTTGGCTGCTCAGCCAAAAACTGCTACTATAGCTATTGCTGAAGCCTGGACTCCATGGGCAGATCCAGATATGTAAATAACTAAAACATAGTCTGCAAGGCAGTGGAGAGAGTGAGCAAGAGAAAGACCAGGAATAGCTAATGCACAGGAAAACTGCTGAAGAAAGGATTGATTAGTGGATCATTAAAAATGAGAGAGCATTGTTAAGATCCATGAGTGAAGAGCAATTAGCAGGAATCAAGTAGATTGAGGCACAAATTGATTCCCTCCACACTGCCTCAACAGAAATGCCACTGTGGCTGCAAGGGAACTGGTTTTAAACTCTGGGTGGAGCAGGAATCGGGGTGCCATCACATCAGTGCACCCCACATCCCAATCTGCCTGGCTAGACTTCACCTCTTCCCTCCATGCGACTCCTGGACGAAAGAGAAGGAAAACCCACAATAACCATTTTACAGCATCTCAATACTTCTGTTCAGGACAGGGAAAACAAAATCAACTTCCCCGCTTAAGACACACATCCCCAGTACAATAAAATATAAAGAGTACTTCCTCTTAACTGGGAAGTCATCATTTAGAGACTACCAAGGAGAAGAATCAGTATACTAGTTGACCCTGGGATTACTTGAGATGCAAGTATGATGAAGCAATGAAAGGGGCAAATGAGACCCTACTTGCTCGGACTGGAACAAGTGCAGACATTGAGTAGCAATGTCAGGTAAATGGAATGCCTAAACATTTAAAGGACACTAAAAGGAATGGGTTTGTCTAGAAAAGCAAAATAAAGGCAGAGTGGGATATGACTGCTGCATTTAAATACATCACAGAAGTAAAACACTTAAGGAGAAAGAGGAGCTATTTAAGCTAAAATATACTATTTGGACAAGAACAAATCAGCATACATTGGCTGTAAATAAGTTTAGACTAAAAATTCAGAAACGTCTCTGACCATCAAGGGCACAAGGTTCTGAAACAACTTTCCAGGATGAGTAATGAAGGAAAAGAAAAAAAGAAAAAAACCCCCCTTCACACCTACTTTTCAAATGGAACTTGATTTAATGAAAAATTATAGGACAGATTCTTGCAGTAGCAGGGAATGGAATCAATGATACATGGATGCCCCCTTCAATAACTACATTCCTACAAAACCAAATGTAGTTTGCCAAGCAAACAAGCAGTACAGAGAGATCCTCCAAATCCTATCTATCTTCTGTATTTTTGTACTAATAAGTTATACTGTATTTGATGCCATTAGATATTGAAAGCCTTACCTCTGTTATCATTTTACAGCTTTTGCACGGTCCAATCTGGCTGAATAATTGAAGTATTAGTACTTCAGTTACATCTCTGGAGAGGTTTCCTACATAGCTACATAAAAAAAAAGAAACAGTATTTTAAAATCTAGCATCTTGTGTTGTCATATTTACATGGATATTTTAACCCCTTTTATCTTCCATGTAAAAGCTCTTTTTAAATATCCTAACCTGAACAAAATACAGGATCTGCAGAATAACTTTACACATTATTTCGAACTTTACACACTTCCTAAACAGTAACACTTTCCATGCAACTTAGATCATGGAACTGGAAGTAGTTATGCAATACTTAATATTATTTTTACTAGCATGAAAATTCAAAAACAGAAGGAAGTGTATTGTGCAAACATGTTGGGAGAACCCATGTAGCGGGCAGACATTTAAATCATATTTTACCACTTCTTCAGAAGTGATTATTTTATATTTCCAATAACAGCACATAACATATTTCTTGTAATTTTCAGGAACAAGTTAAGGTGACAAATTACCTCACAATTAGAGCACTCAATTTTTCTATTCTCTTACGATTAGCATTTGGGGAGTGGGGGGGAGGGAAGTAGAAGACAGGGAGGGGGGTAACAAAAAACATCCAACAACCCAATGTTAAAGGTGTCTTACATTAGCAGGGTTTCATTTGACTGAATTTTAAAGCAAGGGCAAGAGACTATTAACTATTACAAGTTTTGACCAGAAGTAATTGTAATATTACTAATAATCCTATTTTTCCAACTGGTTCCTTTTTAAAGCTCAGGTACCTTTTAATATTTATATAACCTTCATGCAAAAATCTAAACTTAAAACCTATTGTCAATTTTAGGTGAAAAACATGTCTATAGCTACTGACACATACTCCAACACAATAAGAAGCTAAATCTACTTTCTTCAGAATTATAAACCAACAAGAAATCTAGAATTCATTCACATAAAGATAAGATCAGGTTACGGAAACAACTGATAAAAATCCACACTTTCAAACTAAAATCATCTTTCAACAATTAAAAGCAGAAAGATTTGGAATGGAACTTATGAACTGTAAAATGGTATTAGGCAGGTATTAAAATGGTATTTGTCACTAAACCTACTAATTTAAAAATAGAACAACATTCACTTAGTCTGATTTAAAGGTAACAAAACTGTCATAATGTTAAGGATTCAAATGTGTTAGTAACAAAAACAGCTGGTGATCTGCCATTTTTAAAGTCACTATTAAGTTTAAGCCATATTGATAAAAAGGTCCAAATATCACAGTACTGTAAATAAAAGTTGGAAGTCTTTATTTAAGAAGTTACACCCCCCAAACAAATGTAAAGCAATCTGCCTTAGCCTGGGTAAAACTGAAGTCATGTGGTAGCCGTAATGGTTCAGGAATTATGAAAGAGGAAAGGATTTCTTAAGTGATACCTTTTATTGGACCAACTGCATAGTTGGGAGAATTAGACAAGCTTTCAAATGAATGCAAGGCAGTCTTCCAAAATGAAGGGAAGATTGTCTTACATTCATTTGAAACCTTGTCTAACTCTATCCCAACTATGCAGTTGGTCCAATACAAGGTATCATCCTAAGAAATACTTGCATCTCATGTAAAACGAAATTCTGCTTTACAAGGTACTTTTACATTCACATTATTTCCTTTGTCTATTGCCTCAGAAAACTTGGGGGAAAAAACTCTCCCAGTGTTATTTCCTTGTTTTACAGCAACTCCAATAAATCAATATAACTTAGTTCTTGCATGAGCATGCTAACAAGAGAAAAAAATCACAGATTTAATACAGTGCTAAAGTATTGTTTTGTAAAAAGCAAACTTTTTTCTCCCTTCAAAATGTCACAGGGAAGTCTGAACTTTAAACTGGAATCTAGAATTTCTTAAATGGCATTGCCTGGATACAAAATAACATACTAATATAACATACATGCACAGTTAAAACAGAAGGTAGTACAAGATTACCCCAGGTAATCTTTCAAAACTAAGGGGGTTCACACAATTTTGTTCAGTAAAACTTGAAAGATATTCAGATAAACCAGAAACCTGGCTTCTTTCTTTGACGATATAGAAAATTATACAGTAGCCAGATGCAAACAAACTGAATTTCAATTTCCTGTACTATTTTTTGCACCACTGTCTATAAATATGATCCATTTTACTGAACTGAAACATAATTAAAATTTTCTTCTGGGTTACATAGCCACATCAATATGAATTACTTTGTCAATCTTCCTAAACATACACCAGTAAAGATTAAATCATTTTGCTTTGCTTCATTTCAGACCACACCTACCATTGCGCTCAGTGTTTATACATTAATCTGCATTTGAGTCTCAAAACTGCAAATAAGGCTTCTTAACAAAGATTATTAATGATTCACCAAGTGGGGGGAAAACACATTCATTTTAACACAAAATTTAAATTTTGGGATCTTGGTAGAATAAAATAAAGTTCTAGATATGTAAAAAGAATCCTTGTCAAGAAATAGCCATACTTTTTTTTACTATAGCCACTATACCCTTTTTAATATAGGAACTATAGCTAGTATTTGTTTCCTCTGCTGGCTATGCAGTACTAGAAGCTAATATCATTCCCAAATAGACTACATTATCTGTCATCAACTGCTGCTGCACAAACATGTGAGTAAATACAATGAAGTAATGTTGGCCTCACTTCCACTGAAAATTCAGGCAAGGGAATGGGGTAAGAGAAACTGTCTGCAATACAGAAAGAGGGAGAGCTCCATTCACATTCAAAAGTGTATACTAACAATATAAAAAACTATGAAGAATCATTTATGGAATTCCTTTCATGCTGAAAAAACTGGAAAGTCATTCTTCCAGTCATAGTATAATTTTTACTCCCTACTAAATTTAACCAACCCCAGAAAATAATTTTAAAATAGTTTACAATTCACCTTTTTCAACATGATTTTAAGAATGTGCAACAATTCATGTCAGGAGTTTGTGCATGTGCGCAGGTCTCTCAAATACTATTTTGGGCCAACTGATTCCTAGATCTGAAGGAAGTTTAATAGTATAGTACCTCAAGAAGGACTTTTTAAAAATTGTACATATACATAGATGGTTTCATCACTATACTATAATATTAGTATTACAAAGTTATAGATAGTATCACTAAAGCAAAAAGTTAAGAGAACACTCAAGCAGACAAAAGCAACTAAGGCTATCTACATGTCTGAAACTGCAGTATCTGTTTCTGAGACCAAGCTGTGCTACAGTATTATACACTCTCAGTCTAGCATCTAAAAAGAAGCTATAATTTCTAGACAGTCATATATTCAGAGCAAGTTGAAGGTGAAGATTCAACCTTGCTAATGATTTCAGAGCTTTTTAACTGTAGCCTGTATTATTACTTGTCCATACAGGTAAGGTACTATGATGATCTGTGAACAAGATCAATGGATCAAATACTTTTGTGTAAAGTACTTGAATACTTCAATTAAACAGGATAAGATAGATATGCAAAACCTTAGAAAAGAAAGCCTTATGTTTTCCAGGTTCATGTTAAAATCACAACCAATGACTTGTAACCATCCAGCTGGCAGGGGCCAAAATTTTAATCCTAACTGTGCTAGTACAGTGAATGTTAAATTTTATATTACATAATTAGAATATAACACATGAATTTGTAGTACTATGCAATATGATGCTTGGGAAAACACAAGTGATTATAAAATACTACTGGATGGCCTTTCAAGCCTCACTCTGATATTGGCCATGGGATATGATGATTAAAATTTGCAAAACCACACAATATAATAGAAAAAAGGCAGTTACTATGCTCACATAGCCTGTCTCCTTACTTAACGAGACATCAACTCAGAGAAGGTTATAGCTTTACATACATATTAATACACGCGTGTTCAGTGCTACAGGTGTTAGTCACTTAAATGTCACATTAATAATAGGCACAGTTTATCATTATAAACTAGAAGTAATTTTTATATAATCTAATATGTACGTTTCAATGCACTGTATTTTGAATTTTTCAGATGCACACAACTAGAAACTGGAACCGAGCCATATATACTAGACCTAGCATCAAACTCAAATGGAAAAAAAGAGTTCTTTGCATAGTCAACATTTTGTATTGTCCACTAGACAGGTGAGGACACCACCTACATTTATAACTATTCCTTTTTTACCTGAATGAGTTCTTCCAGGTACTACCCTGAGGAAGCATAATGTGTCTTTAGTAACGTAGAGACAACAGAAGAGGAAAAAAGAGGCAACTTCTACCTTTAGTAGAACAAGAGGGCTAACAAAGTTTTCCCAGAAATACTGCTACTACATCTCTGACTTGGTAAGAGGGTGACATAAATCAACACTCCTAGTGAAGTGCAAGAAAAAAAGGAAAGCAATGCCTAGGAAATTCCCAGTACCTTCCAAAAATGGACACAGTCTATAGGAGACTTTGAATGAGAAGAAGTTACATTTCATCTCTGTGGCTTGGCTCAAAATTGAATTTAGGATTCAAACTTAACAGTCTCAACTTAATACCCACAGAACCAGATTCCACACCACTAAACATGTTATTGGAGGGTGGGGTACAGGGGCTCAGTGTATACAGGCAACTTTCCCAAGACAGCTAACATAAAAAATGCACACTTTTAGAACTGCTCTTTTTGCACCCTAAAAAGTGTTGAAATTATTGGCAGGACATTGCCAAAACAGGACTTTTGTTTCTATCACTTGTGATGATGGATAAGGATCTGATGGCATCCACTGTAACAAGTCTGACTCCAACTAATATTTCCACAACAAGAAATAATAACATTAAGTCCAAGAATAGTCTTATCAAAAAGCATTTGAGGAGCTGAATTTTATTTCATTTTTTCTAACTTAATATATCTTATTAAACTCTAAGCAGAAAACTAATTTTAGTCTCAATTAGCATGGCATACATGGTTCAAGAATCTTTTCATTATACAACAATGAATGTTGAAGGTGCTGGTCAGAATCCAAGTGTCACTGTAAAGCAACAAACAAAAGTTCTCTCTTCTTTACACTGTCACGTTGAGGGTTATAAAAGAAATAACA